AGAGAGAGAGAGAGAGAGAGAGAGAGAGAGAGAGAGAGAGAGAGAGAAGAGACGAGAGAGAGAGAACAGAGAGAGGAGAGAGGAGAGAGAGAGAGATAGAGAGAGAGAGAGGAGAGAGAGAGAGAGAGAGAGAGGAGAGAGAGACAGAGAGAGAGACCAGAGAAGAGAGAGAGAGAGAGAGAGAGACAGACAGAGAGAGAGAGAGAGAGAGAGAAGAGAGAGAGAGAGACAGAGACAGAGAGAGAGAGAGAGAGACAGAGAGGTGATCCACAACACACACTAAGGTAAGGAAATAGGGCACCGGATGATCCTGTGTAACATGGGAGAGGGGTGACAGGCTACCAGAAGGAGGGGGAGGATGTGGGAGGGGTGATCTGGTATATTGGAAGAGACGAGGGTTGGTTATGGGGTCTAGGATGGGGGCTAGAATGGGGTATCTGGCCTCGTGGCGCGGGTGACGGGTTTGAGGGAGCAAGAAAGCCGGTTAAATTATTCTTCTGGGACGGAACAAATTTTGGATGGGAGAGGTGTCTGTGGGAGGGGGAGGATGCCTGGTAATCCATGGAAAATAGGGGGTGGGAGGGAATAGGGAGAATAGGGGGGAGGATATTGAGGGCTGGAACGGGACTTCATATATCCTGGGCATTTGTTTTGGGGGGTATGAGCAGGTGCCACATATAAACACTTCCCTCTCTCATAAATATATCTACCTATTTCATCAAGTTCCCAATTATATACCATATCACGCCACGCTAATAATACCATCGTCCAGGCTCTTCCATATTAAAATCAACAATTAATTGCATATTATACCAAAGAAAAGTAATAAACAAAGTTACATGTGGCAGCGCTGGCGGCAGGGATGCCAGACGTCGCCGGCGTGTAGCGGACCGCCACCTCTCTTGACCTACTGAAGGACAAGATATTAGTTTCTTCAGCCTCTGGTGACGGACTCGCGGCCCGCGATGGCTGATCGCGGCCCGCGATATATACTTCTCACGCTCGCGTGTTAAATTGTAAAAATAAAAAAATCTTGAATCAGGATCACTCCACAAGCCGCGTTCAGACCTGCACCAGTTCCTTAACGCCAGAAATCACTTTAAAACTAACATAAAACCTTTTAAAATCTCAACAACAACATAGCTAAGTACAATGTCAAAAGGTTTCTATAAACAAACACAAATTAACGCAATCTTTGTCACCGGAGAGTTGTGATATATTGAAATGATGGAAAATAATGTTCGGAATTCCCGCCTTAAGCAGATCGGGGGCGTTCAGAAGGTGGTCAACCTCCTGACACAACTGTATCCTAGTCCTCAATTATATTCTGTTCTTATACACGATGTGTGTATATATATATATATATATATATATATATATATATATATATATATATATATATATATATATATATATATATATATATAACTTTTTTAGACACTCAACCCACCAGGAGACTCGAACACTGGCCAACAAGGTGGCAGTTGCATGCTGTATCCACTACGCTATACTTCAAAGCCATAAGAGAGGTAGGAATTCTGGGTATTTAACCAACCAGAAATTCCAATCCTCTCCCAGCGATGAGATAGTGTGGGACCTCGGATGCTCTTTCATCGGTTCCTGTTATATGGGAAAACTCAGTGCCAAATGCTTAATGCACAGACTACCCTATTCCAGTAGCTGAAGTTTATAACTTTTTTTTTTTTTTTTATATATATATTATATATAATATATATATATATATATATATATATATATATATATATATATATATATATATATATATATATATATATATATATATATATATATATCTATTATTAAATATACCGAAACAGTAAGATTAATAATTCTAACACGAGTTTTCTCTATGTTTCTTATATTTCTTTTCACTGTCGATGGTGACTGAAAAATCAATTCTCCAAAATTCATTTTTATTTCTAGTCTGACGCGACACTTGAGCGCGTTTCGTAGAACTTATTACATTTTCAAAGACTTTAGTTTACACACACACAACTATAACTGAACAGAGTTCAAACAGCTACGATTTTATACCTGCATTTGGGTGAGGTGATATGTTACAACAGTTTTGGATGAGGTGAAAACAAACTTTCAACACAAGACAGAACACGAAACAATGGGTATAATATTGGGTAAGTTAAAGGGAAGAATGGAAGTAACTGCAGAGGGCCTATTGGCCCATATTTCTTGATGCTTCTATATTGGAGCGGAGTCTTGAAGTGGTTAGAATATCGTTGTGCATTAATTGGCTGTCGATTGCTGGTGTTGACTTCTTAATGTGTAGTGCCTCGCAGATATCTAGCCGCTTGCTATCGCTGTATCTATCGATGATTTCTGTGTTGTTTGCTAAGATTTCTCTGGTGATGGTCTGGTTGTGGGAAGAGATTATATGTTCCTTAATGGAGCCCTGTTGCTTATGCATCGTTAAACGCCTGGAAAGAGATGTTGTTGTCTTGCCTATATACTGAGTTCTTTGAGACTTACAGTCCCCAAGTGGGCATTTGAAGGCATAGACGACATTGGTCTCTTTTAAAGCGTTCTGCTTTGTGTCTGGAGAGTTTCTCATGAGTAGGTTGGCCGTTTTCTTGGTTTTATAGTAAATCGTCAATTGTATCTTCTGATTTTTGTCTGTAGGGATAACGTTTCTATTAACAATATCTTTCAGGACCCTTTCCTCCGTTTTATGAGCTGTGGAAAAGAAGTTCCTGTTTAATAGTCTAATAGGGGGTACAGGTGTTGTGTTAGTTTTCTCTTCAGAGGTTGCATGGCATTTCACCTTCCTTCTTATGATGTCTTCAACGAAACCATTGGAGAAGCCGTTGTTAACTAGGACCTGCCTTACCCTACAGAGTTCTTCATCGACTTGCTTCCATCCTGAGCTGTGGCTGAGAGCACGGTCGACATAAGCGTTAACAACACTCCTCTTGTACCTGTCTGGGCAGTCACTGTTGGCATTGAGGCACATTCCTATGTTTGTTTCCTTAGTGTAGACTGTAGACAAATGCCCACTTGGGGACTGTAAGCCTCAAAGAACTCAGTATATAGGCAAGACAACAACATCTCTTTCCAGGCAATTAACGATGCATAAGCAACAGGGCTCCATTAAGGAACATATAATCTCTTCCCACAACCAGACCATCACCAGAGAAATCTTAGCAAACAACACAGAAATCATCGACAGATACAGCGATAGCAGGCGGCTAGATATCTGCGAGGCACTACACATTAAGAAGTCAACACCAGCAATCAACAGCCAATTAATGCACACTATATATATATATATGTCGTACCTATTAGCCAGAACGCA